CTATGCATTAGCAGTAATTAACAGCGACTTTTGAGCATTGGCTGTAGTTCTGTCTCTCTTGCACAGAGTATGTGTGTCGCTGGGAGTGACTTCTCGTAATTTTGTAGTTAAAAATGGCATTGCACACACAGTCCATAGGACCAGGCAGGCACAGAGGGTAGTCATCCAGGGAACAGTATAAGGAACAAGCGAGAAAAATTTGAAAAAAATTAATTGGCACAATCAGGTTCTGTTGTGAGCATCTCATTTTACAAAAAAAAATAGCTTTAATATCACTTTAAGTTTAAGGATGTGTATGCCACCTTGTGGACCTAATGCTTTTATGTATAATATACGCTTTTACAGAGTATCATGAGTGTAGCCATAGTTATAAAATGTCAGGTTTCCGTGATGTAAAAAAATGAGACGATAAATCATTTCGGAACTTTTTTCCGCCTTTTAATTTGACCTATAAACTGTACAACTCGGTTGAACAACAAACTGAAATCTTTTAGGTGGAGGGAAGTAAAAATAAAAAAACTAAAATAATATTTGCATACGTGTGCACACCCTTAAACTAATACTTTGTTGAAGCACCTTTTGAATTTATTCCAGCACTTAGTCTTTATGGGTTTGAGCCCATCAGCATGGCACATCTTGACTTGGCAATATTTGCCCACTCTTCCTTGCAAAAATACTCCAAATCTAGTTGCGAGGGCATCTCCTGTGCACAGACCTCTTCAGAACACCCCTTAGATTTTCGATCAGATTCAGGTCTGGGCTTTGGCTGGGTCATTCTAAAACTTTAATATGGTGAAGCCATTCCTTTTTTGATTTGGATATATTCTTTGGGTCGTTGTCATGCTGAAAGATGAAGTTCTTCATGTTCAGCTTTCTAGCAGAAACCTGAAGGTTTTGTGCCAATATTGACTGGTATTTGGAACTGTTCATAATTCTCTCTACCTTGACTAAGGCCCCATTTCCAGTTGAAGAAAAACAGCCCAAAGCATGATGCTGCCACCACCATGCTTCACTGTGGTTATGGTGTTCATTTGGTGATGTGCAGTGTTTTTTTGTGCCAAACTTTATCTTTTGGAATTATGGCCAAAACGTTCAACCTTTCGTGAGACTATAATACATTTTCCCATATGCTTTTGGGAGACTTGAGATTTTTTTTTTTTGCAAAATTTAACCGGGCTTGGATGTTTTTCTCTGTATGAAAAGGCTTCTGTCTTGCCACTCTTTCCTATAGCTCAGACATATGAAGAATACGGGAAATTGTCACGTGTACCACATAGCCAGTACTTGCCAGATATTCCTGCAGCTCCTTTAATGTTGCTGTAGGCCTCTTGACAGCCTCCCAGACCAGTTTTCTTTTTGTCTTATCAATTTTGGAGGGATGTCCAGTTCTTGGTTATGTCACTGTTGCTGTCTTCACTGTGTTTCATGGTATATCTAATGCCTTGGAAATTCTTTTGTACCCTTCTTCTGACTGATAACTTTTAACAATGAGATCCCTCTGATGCTTTGGGAGCTCTCTGTGGAATATGGCTTTTGGTGTAGGATGCGACTAAAAATGTCAGAAAAAGACCTACTAGAACAGCTGAACTTTGTTTGGGGTTAAACAGAGACTCTTTAAATGATGGCAGGTGTCTACTGACTCCTATTTAACATGATTTTGAATGTGATTGCTTAATTCTGAACACAGCTACATCCTCAGTTATAAGACTTATGCAACCACTTTGTTTTTATTTGTTTATTTACTTCACCCCCCCTAAATTTCAATTTGTTTTTCAGTTGTTTAGTTTATAGGTCACATTAAAGGTGGAAAAAGTTCTGAAATTATTTCTTTGTCTCATTTTTTTACATCACAGAAACCTGACATTTTAACGGGTGTGTAGACTTTTTATATCCACTGTACTTCTGGTGGTCTGGCACTGAACCTTCTGTTCTCCACAGAAGCTGTGGGATCTGTTTCAGCCGCTTTGCCTGCCACTCCTCTTTTCCTATCCAATCATGGATAACTTTGTGTTATGTGAGCCCATACAATACAAAAATAATTAACCTGTGACTGGATGAGAGGGCAATTGTCCTTGTTCCCATCACACACATTCCTGGACATAGTCTCATCAGTAGCGGGTGCTGTAGCAACTACCACCTGGAAACTGGGCTCGTCATGAAACAACGCACAAATTCACCAGCTCACCATGGATCATTAGACATTGTCCAAAGCCTTTATTGCAGAAAGATCACATCGCAAAGGACCACACGCAAGGTTTCAGAGCTGAGCAGGACCCCTTCATTGGGCTTGCCTGACAAAAGGGAACTGTGCTGCTTTAAAACGGTGCACTTGGTCCTTTCTAATGTCACCTTTCTGCAATAAAAGGTGGATGATATCCGATGACCAATGGTGTGCTGGTGAATTTGTGTGGCGTTGGATGAGAGAGCAGAACATGGCTGGTGCGCAGCAGAGTTAAATCTACTGTGATTGTCAGGAATATAGCAACAGCTGTACTTCCAGCTTACTGTGAAAGTGTAAATAAGAAAAGAGAAGTTTACATACACTTAAACCTTTTAACCCCTTATAAGCCAGCCCTTTTTTAACCACTTTCTGTTCTTAGACCATTTATAAATGTCCTAAGGGTGAAGTGGTTATACTGGGCAGTATCGAATTCTTCAGCAGACAATTTCCTACAAAGTAAAAGTAATCCGAAATGGAAATTTCTGGAAAATAAATTCAATGTGGAGTAGTTTTATAAATGAAAAATTGTTACACTGGGAACATGAAATGCAGTGTATATAAAAGTGTTTACTGAATAAGCTGTAATTTTATTTCAAGCATAATAAACTACACTTGCTTTTTAAAATTGTCTTTTGCAGGGATGTTGGATTCCTATCGCCCGACTCCTGGGACATGTAGTTCTGGGCGCCGGGCAGGTAGTTTTTCTACGTTTAGCCCTGCTGTCGGCAAGCATCAGGGCTCACCTGTCAGGTTAAGCAATTGGCGGCAGGAGTGCCGCCAATTGCTTTACACAGTGCCAGCCTCTCCGTGCTCCCGGTGAGGTCTCTTGGGCTTTGCTTGCCCATCTGCGGGCCCGGCTCACCGTCCGCTAAAGGGAAGGGATAAGAGCAGACAAGTCTGCTCCCCCCCACCTTCTTGTGCTGACCCGGAAGTGACGTTACGATGTCACTTCCAGGTCCCTGCTGAGAGATTTTAATGCAAGCCCTGGGAAAGAATGTAATATGGTGTGATGTGCACCACATTACATTCAGTGGAGCAGAGGGGAGACATCCAGGGTCTTTTAGACCTTGGATGTCTCAAATAAAACTTGTCACCAAAAATCATCACATAGCTTTGTCCCATTATGTGATGAAAAAGTAAAAAAAAAAAAAAAGTTTAATTGTAAAAAATGAATGTTATACCCTAGCACATACCATCCCCCCCCCCCCCCCCAAAAAAAAATTGATACCCCCACATATACGCACGTACAAACGTAAGCACACACTGGGGCGCCTACGCATGAAACAGTCAATTGTGATACACCTATTACATATCGCCGTGCACGCCAGAATGAGAGCAATAGCTCTAGCACCATACCTCCATAATACTAAACTGGTGACCTACAAGGAGCTTTAAGAGTGTCGACCTATAGAAAATATAGGGTACTGAAGTTCGTTGCCATTTCATGAGCATGCACAAATTTAAGATTTGACAAGCTGGATATCTATTTACTCGCTAAAAATTATGTGAAATACGCTTGTGAGCCTCTAAAGTGATTAACGTACTGTATCATTAATAATATGGTTCACTGACATTAATACACATCCTCATAACTATGTGTTACAAAACCACAAATAATACCACTTACATGTTGCGCTCCATAAACACTGCGATTGGTATTGAACTTTTATAAGTTCATCAATAAATCACCAATTTGTCATTAATCCTGTGCTTAATTCAAAATAGCATTTGCAACATGTGACATGATTATAGAAAATTATATAAATTAAATGAATATTTAAATCTAAATAAAAATAGATAAAATATTTTATTATAAATAGTGATAGTCCCAAAAGTAAATTCATGTGATTCAAACGGTGTCTATATTTCTTGTGTGAGTGCCCTCCGAATTGGAATACCAATATGTGCTCACCTCAATGAAAGCCAAACATATAATTTAGGCAAACATAGCTTTGTGTCCTAATAATGGCTGGTTCTTTCAGCTGCTCTGCGTTTGCGATCTGCTGGCTAATAATGTCCACTGGAGTTTCCTGGATAAACCGATCCTTAATTATGGATAGGGGTGCATGGACCCCTCCCTCTGTGTGTTGAAGGATTACTCCTCCGTCTCTTCGTTTCTCCTTATTTAGGTTAGAAGACTCCTTTTCTCTCAACTGCTGCCTGTGATCTCAATCCCATTGTGAGCTGAACAGATTGTTATAGAACCTTAGTCCCAACTTCAGGAGGTACAAGATGTAGCCCACAAGCAAATTAAACTGGAGCTTTTCCTCTCCAGTGCCCCCTCCTGGCAGAAATGCATGTTTTTCTTGTTTAACCTCCCTAGCGGTATGATTATTTCAGATTTTTGGTGCTGAAAGTGGTACCATTATTTTGCATGGAAATATGTAGTTTTTTTATTGTAGGCTGTAATATTTAGGAATAACTCACTGAAATCTGTCCGAACAAGAGTCTATTAAACATCCCGGGTTTCATAAAATTTGAAACACAAAATCATAAATTATAATTTAATAAATAATCATAAAAAAATAATATAATACATTTAATTCAATCATATAATCAAACCAAAAACACTGAAATTTGAAATATAGCGCCAAGTTCGCACATCACTGAGCAAAGTCGCAAAATTGTTTTCAGTGTCTGATGACGAATTTCTCCACGAATCATCACTCAACTCTGCAAGTGGTTCTGATTTACTATCGCTGTTCTCTAGCTGATCTAAACCCGCTTTTGACCTATAGGGATGCTTTTTGGACGCCATGGACTTTTCTAAGTTTCCAGGCAGAAAAAACAGTCAAAATGCAGACGGGACAGGACAAAGCACTACGGACAAAATGTATGTGAAATGGTTTGAAACAGCAATGTTTTACTATGTAAAATTCATTTTGAAAAGACATTTTTTTTCAAATTTTCTGCCGCCAGCGGCGTCCTTACGTCCTGATGTCACAAGGACCGGAACACAGATGCCGGCATCAGCCGGAGGAAATGACCGGGGACGCTGCAGGGGACACATCGCGGGAACGAAGGACAAAGTAAGCTCTGCAGGGACTCCCTATGCATCGCCGCATGGTAAGCCCGAGTGTAGCTCGGGGTTACTGCTTTTGGTACTGACATTTTACCCCGAGTTACACTCGGGAATACCGCCAGGGAGGTTAAGACTTTACATAAAGGGATTGATTTACAAAATCTAGTGCAGCTGTGCATAGTAGCCAATCCACTTATGACTTCAGCTTGTTCAATCAAGCTTTGACAAAAAATAAACATGGAATCTGGTTTCTATGAAGAGCTGCCCCAGATTTTGCACTCTAGTGTTAGTAAGCCCAACCCCCTAATCACATACCATGTCAATGTAAAAAGCTTTTTAAAAAAACTGAAGAGTTTTTCTCGCTTATTTTTAAGTTTTTTTTTTTTTTTTTTTCCAGGCCTTCCCTTGCTCTAGGTATAGTGCTTTTGTTCATTTCAATTCCTTAAAGTGTATTTTTTTCCAAACATTTTGCATTTGAAAAACTGCTGCAAATATTGTGTGATGTAAAAATATGTGGCAGTGACCATTTTATTCTCTAGGGCTTCTGCTTACAAAAAAAATATAATGTTTGTGTTTTCAATGTATTTTTTCTAAATGGTAATGGTAAAAAATGGTTTTTATGGTTTTTTGTTTTTTGTTTTTTTTTACATGTTGGCATAACTCAGTGCTTCTCAATTATTTTCTGTCATGCCCCCCCTAGGAAGAAGAAAACATTTCGCGCCCCCCCCGTGCGACTGTAAATAGTATCATTTGTCTATAAAATTGTTATAAGTAGGAATAGTGCCCCATCATTGGTGTCAGTGGGAGGAATAGTGCCCCATCATTGGTGTCAGTGGGAGGAATAGTGCCCCATCATTGGTGCCAGTGGGAGGAATAGTGCCCCATCATTGGCGCGCCCCACTATTTGAGAAGCACTGGCTTAACTGGTTAAAAGTACATACTTTCCTGGAGGTGTTTTTTTTTTTTTTTAAAAACTGCTTGCCAATAGAGCAAGGTTTGACCTTTTCTCACATACACTTAAAAATCCTTCTTTTAAAAAAAATTTTTGCTAAAAAGAAATACATGCAACCCATAAACGTTATATTTTCTGAAAGCAAAGGCCCTGGAGAATAAACAGGTGGTTGTCAATTTTTTTATGTCACAATATTTGTGCAGCGTTTTATCAATGCAAATGTTAAGGAAAAAATACACCTTAACAAATGTTAGTGCACCAAACACAACACCAGGGTTGTTAACCACTTAACGACCGGCCTATAGCCAAATGATGGTTACAGCATGGTCATCTAATTCTGGGAGGGTGTAATATGACATCCTGCAGATCCTCACCTCCTGAGTGCCCCCTGGAGTGAACATCCGGCAAGCTCTGTAAACGCTGTGTCTGTTGGAAATAGCTGATCACATGACATGGTAAAGGGCCAATCTCAATCTCCCTTTTTTACCATGTGATCAGCTGTGTCCAATGACACAGCTGATAACAATATGGTAAAGGACCAATCACAATCACCCTTTTACCATGTGATCAGCTGTGTACAATGACATAGCTGATATGTCCAATGACACAGCTGATAACAATGTAAATAGTTACTGGTTATCGGCTGCACTTTCCTCACGCTTGAGAAAGAGGAGAGTCTGTAATCGGCAAGTGTATTTAAAAAAATCAGAGGCAGCCCCCAGCCCTAACAGGCCAGTCGGTGCCCATTAGTGCAGCCTCATCGGCACACATCAGTGAAGGAGAAAAATGACCCGTTTGCAAAATTATATAACAGAAACTAAGAAAAAAATAAATTTTCAAACTTTTGTCTATTTTGTTTGTTTACCAAAAAACAAACCCAGTTGTGATTAAATACCACTGAAGGGGGGGGGGGGGGGTGCTTGCGAGCAGCGCTATGATTGCCCCATTGTAGGCCCGCTCCATGGCCTCCGGGCACATCGGCCGATTTTCTTCGCTCTCTGAGGGGGGGTGGGTGGTTCACCTACTTTCTCTCCAGCTTCTCCTGGTCCCCCGATGCCCCGATGTGCAAGAAGACGGGAGCTGCCCGCGTCTTCAGCGCTCAGCAAGCCTCGCCGGTACTTGCGGCCTACCTGTCAGAGGCCACGTTTGAGGCCCTAGCCTCGATTTCGGGGCCCTCGCCGGAGGCCACATGTGATGCCCCGGCCTCAATTTTGGGTCCCCTGTCGCCGCTACCCACAGATGGGCCGGATCCCAGGGGTGTTGACGACCTGGCATCAGAGGCATCCCTGCAGTCCCCTTCTCCAGCTGTGAGGGATTCTGAGCTCCTGCACTGCTTCAAGTCCATGCTGCAGTCTGAATTGTCTTCCACTATGTCCAAGCTGGCTGACCGTCTTTTGCGAGAAATCCGGGAGTTGGGCACTCGGACAAATGATCTCAAAGATGAAATGGACGCTGCGGCCATGGTCATTGAAAGTCATGAACATGATCTGTGTGACCTCAAGAAAGAATTGGACGCGCTGCTCCGGCTTGAGGATTTCGAAAACCGTTCCTGCCATGGAAATTTTGCGTTTAAGGGGTATCCCAGAAACTCACAGATCTCACTTCAACCGCTACTGCTCTGTTTCAGCAGCTGAAGCCCTCCATTCCCATTGACCGGCTCGAATTTGAGTGCATACACCATGCATTGGGCCCCAGATGTCTGGATTGGCCTCCCAGAGACATCATCAAATTCACTTACTATCGCACTAAGGAAACTATCCTCCTGGCGGCCAGAAACAACCCAGACCTCAGATTCCAAGGGCATTGCTACTAGCTCTTCGCGGACCTCTCCCAGACCACTCTTCAGAAGCGCTGCCAGTTGAAGCCCTTCACTTCAGTCCTGGTGAACTGCAGAATTAAATATGCCTGGGGCTTTCCGTTCCACCTCACCTTCAACTATCAGTGCTGCAGCCACTCTGTTGCCACGCCAGAGGAAGCCCACTCTCCTGGAATCTTTACACCTTCCGCCTGGAGACGCTACTCAGAGCCCAGCCCATTCTTCTGGATCTTCTGCTGTGAGGCCGCTTCCTCTGGGAGAGGTCGTCCCAACAGGAAAAGGGCCCTCCCACATTGTGTCTTACCGTTGGACTTTCCTGACGGGACCGTGAGTTTGGCCCTTAAGGCATCCCCAGTTAGTGTTCCAGGATTGGGTCTAGTCCTGCCTGCTCCCTTGGCTTCCATCCTTCAGTGGGGGGGGGAGTGTCACCTCCTGTACTTGAGGACTATAACTTTTTGCCGTTGTGGCCTACTCCGGGTCCAGGCGACATTGGTTGGGTTCACATTGGTGGAATGGGCTGGTTCCCTCGGGCTCCAGGGTGGACCCTAGTTGGGTGCCAGGATGTAGGTCCTACTGGGAGGTTGGTGGGGGACCACTTGGGCTGTTTTGTGGGGTTCCATGGCAGCCTGTAGTCATTCTCCTGAAGGGGGTGGTCCGTTATGTGTTTTTTATTACCTTTTTGCCCCCCCCGAGGGCTTGTTTTTGATGTTTTCATTTGCAGCCATGTGTTCGGTGGTAGAGCCACCCCCAACTGGTATCCTTCAAGTGTAGGATGCACGTCATCATTGGCGTGATACGATTGTATTATTGTACATACTCCTTGTGTCGTCGTCTTCTTTCTTTTTCTTGTTTTCTTTTCCTCTCTGGTTTTATGTTGGCTGACTCAAGCTTTTTCTGCTGAGCGTGCTGTGCTGATACCGCCATGGCATCACCCTTTTTGAAAGTACCCTGTGCTCGGAATATAGCAGACCCCACGGGCAGGTATTTGCTCCTACAGGGCACCCTCTGGGACCAGGAGGTTACTTTTGTCTCTTACTGCACACCCAGTCGCTTTCAGCATACATTTTTTTCTCATCTTTGCACCATCGTTTTCCGACACTCCAAGGGTCTTCTTGTTCTTTTGGGAGATTCAAATGTCACCTTGGATTGCTCTTTGGATAGGCGCTATGCCTGGTGGGCGGCCCCTTCTCATGACTTAGTGCTAGAGGAACATATGCTCTCTCTCTTGCAGACGTTGGGGGCTGGTGGACGTCTGGAGGGAACTTCACCCAACTAAGTGTGACTTTACATTCTATTCCAATCCTCATGACAGTTTTTGTAGAATTGAATATATGTACTTGCATGTCCAGCAGCTTCCTTTGGTCAGGCGGATATTCCTGTGCTAATAAGCCGGGTCCGATGCTGACCAGGAAACTCAATTCTTTGGGGAAACCCCTCAAACCGATCCGATTGCGACTTCCCGCGGATGGTTGTACTTCTAATTCCCAGAAGATTGTTTCCCGTTTCACAGACTTCTTTCGCAGTCTTCATATCAATAAATATTTGTGTAGTCTGGTCCTCAGGGACCAAGTAGGTTTTGTCCCTGGGAAGCAGGCGGGTGATAACATTCATAAGGTGGTCCATCTTATACACTTTCTACAACAGCGGAAAATCCTGGTATTCTTACTGTCGTTTTGATTCTCTGTCCTGGCAATATCTGCGGTTTGTGCTGTCTCGTTGGGGTTTTGGGGATTCTATTCTTTCTTGGATTTAAGCCTTGTGTTCTTCCCCCTCGGCTTCCGTTAAATACACTGGGTATTTTTCAGATCCCTTTCCTATCTGGCGAGGGACGAGACAGGCCTGCCCCCTGTCCCTGGCGCTCTGTTCTGGCGCTTGAGCCGCTGGCTTTATTGTTGCGGGCCGATTGTAATGTATCAGGTGTTCCATACACGGGCAGGCGTTTAAATTGAACCTTTTTGCGGACGATACCCTCTTGACTTTCACTAATCCCCTGATGACGCTTACAATTTTGCAACAGGTGTTTGTGCACTTTGCCTTGTATTTGGGTCTCCATATTAATTTGGATAAGACTGTCGCTCTCAATAAGTGCCCCCAGAGTCTCCAGAAATACGCTTTTTGTTCATAGTTTCCAAGGTGGTCTTGGGATGCCTAATGTGCCTAAAGTATTATCAGGCGAGCCAGATTGCCCTGCTGTTTGTTGCAGGCTTTCTCTGATGTTTTTCTCTGGGTCCTGCTGGAACTACCTAATTGTGCCCCTATCGCGACATCGATTTTGCTTCATGGTCTACAAGTGTGGGACTCCTGTACACTACTCCAGTGG